AAAGAGAAATTTAATAAAAAAATATAATATAAAATATATAATATAAAAAACTCAATAATTTAATAATAATAAAAAAAAATATATAATTTAATAAAAAAATAAAAAGTGATAATTTAATATATATGAAAAAAGAATTAATAAAATATATATATATAAATAAAAAAAATAAGTAATAATTTAATATATAAAAAAAAACAATAATTTAATAAAAAAATTAAACATAAAAAATAAATAATAATTTAACAAAAAAAGAAAAAAGAAATAATAATTTAATAAAAAAAGAAATAATACTTTAATTTAATAACAAAAAAAGAAACTAAAATTTTAAATAATATATATATATTATCAGTGTTGTTCTAAAGCTATTTTTAATCTAATTCAACTATTTTTTAAAAAAATTAAGTTTGGGTTTGGTTTAAAAATCAAACCAGATTCAAACCTGCTACAAAGTTTAATTCAAGCTAATCCAAAAGAAACTCTAATATTAAATTTAAATTATATAACTTATATAATATATATATTAAATTTTAGGATCTAGATAATGCTTGAGTTCTAAACCGATATAATATAAAGAATTAAAAAAAATTTAAAAATCTCTAACTTGGGTTTTAAAAGCAAATTTAAATATTTAAACCTAAGAATTAGCAAAAAATTAAAAACTAGAAGCTGAGCAACGCCGGGTCCTACGTGCTAGTTTAAAAAAAAACCCCATTACTTTAAAATATTAATTTAAAGAAAATAATAATAACTTTTTTAAAACAAATAAGTTAGAGATGGCATATGAATAGATTGCTATGAAAACTGCTAAAAAAACAAAATTTAAAAAAATAGAAAAAACCGATAATTTATTAAAAATAAAATTGATACATAAAAAAAAAATAAAATCGATAAGGCTAAATAAAGGTTTCATAGCATAAAACAAAAAAAAAAAATAACCTGCTCTATTTAAAAAATTATAAACTTTTTTATAGCCATTTTCATGAAACATCTGCTCATTACCTGAACTCTTTTTGGTCGTTCAGTAGATTACCTAACTCTTCGGAAACTACATTGCTGTTTTCAGACCTTCAGTCCAGAGGCAGTGATGTAATTTCCAGAGAGTTAGGTAATTTGCCAAATGACCAAAAAGATTTTGCAGGTGTTCTAAAAATTATAAAAATAGCTGTAAATTATAAAATTAAAATTTTTATTTTTATAAAGCTATGACCTGAAAATACATAAAAGAAATTTTATAATGATAACGGTAAGAATTTCTGTTTTATTATAACTGGATGCTGTTGCGAAAAATAAATAGTACTTATTCACTTTTAATTTGATATCTTATTTCAATGATTATAATAGTGGACATATTTAAAATATATTATTTCTTTATATTTATATTAAATTAGTCTGTAAGTATTGTCTAAAGTCTAAAATATGCAAAAAATTTTTTGCTGCTCCTTAAGTTATTTCTATCACAGTAAGGTTATAAATTATCTGCTATTTCTCATTACAGCTATTATCATAATTCCTGGGACACCTGTGAAAATTTGCCCAAATGATTTTTTTGCTGATCTGGTTAAGTTATTGAGTCGGCATGATCTGTATTAGTATTAGTATATAATGAAATAATTTTATGATTGTTATAACAATAATGTCAATAATTTAAATTTTTGTCCGAATGCTTATTCAAAAATGTTTGGTGTGCTTTAGTTTGTACAAAAATTTATGGAAAAAATTGTTCATATCAACCAACAAACCTTAACAAGACTTTTATAACAAATATATTGCTCGAACAGGTGCCATTATTAAAATATTAAATATGATTGACTGGCTTAAAAATGAATCTTGGGTTAGGATTCTAAGCGACCAAGATATTATTAATATTTGTCGAGAATGCATGAAGAATTACGATAAATGAAATCAAAGTAAAAAATTTTATATATTTATATTTGTTTATATATTTTTCGTCTTCGATAAGAAACAAAAAATAATTAGAAATAAATAACTAATTTTGTTTAAATGAAAATGTATCTTGCCAAAGAATAGGAATCAAAATTTAGTTTAATTTTTTAAAACTAAATTTTTTGTCTTCGACAAGAAATGAAGAATAATTAGAAATGAATAAAGACTTCATTTGAACAAAAATAGATCTGCCAAAGAATAGAATTGAAATTTTTTAAACCAGAATTTTCGTCGAAAAAGAATAAAGGCTTCGTTTGAGCGAAATGGATCTTGCCAAATAATGGAAATTGAAATTTAAGTGCGACAAGTATGCATGTCGATATTTAGCTTTATTGAAATATTAGTTATCAGATCATATAACTGATATCTGTTACTAAATCTTATTATCGTTATTATTATTATTTCCAAAATCTATAGCTTAACCGAATCGGCAGAAAAATCATTCGGGCAAATTTTCACATGTGTTTCAGGAATTATGATAATAGCTGTAAGTCATTTATTTAAGTTAATTTAACCAGGAAGAATAAATTAATTTGTTAATCAAAGTATTTGAAAGCGATATAAACACTTCTTATTAGTTTTATTAGTTTATTATCTGTGCTAATTTGGTTAATAAGCAATCTTTTATTTAAGTCAAGCATTCATCAAGTCCGCAATTAATCTTGCATACTTTAAGAAAGCCACATTCTGGTATGAAAGCTTATGGAGAGACAATTATAATGCAGCCTGTGAATATTTAACAAAAGAAATAAAAGATGCTAGCACATAATAAAAACTTTTAGATTTTGCAGATGATTTTGTAATTGAAAATGCTACAAGAAAAGTAGTTAAAAATAAAAGGAGAAATTTAGTAAATAAAGTGCAAAAGGCAACTATACCAGAAAAATGCAATAATACTGTATCTGAACAAGATCTTTTGAAATTAGTAAAACCAATTTGTAAAGAGTTAGATGTTCCTATTACAGATGTCGTAAATACATTAAAGAATGATATACAAAATAAGAAATTTAAATTACCTGAATCAGAGCTACGGATAAATGCAATCAAGCTCGCGATTGTCTTTCTAAACAAATTGGAGATTTAGCAGAAGAAGAATTATTATATTGCACCGACAGATATGTTGTTGATAATTTCACCAATAAGATTGAGAAGGATTATAAAAAAGATATTCGATTCAGCTATTATTATTTATTAATTAAATATTTAAAATAATCTATATATCTATTATTAATTTCTTATACATGCTGATTTATGATTCTAATTACTATTATAAATTTTAGTCTTATCTGTACTCAAAGTTGTATAGTGCACTTGTAAAGAGCATCTGCTAAATGTTTTCCCATAAATCCAGTCTTAAATTTAAAATGAAAAAAAGAATAAAATCTATATGTAAACTATAATATGTTAAATTACTAGAAGTATTTGAATGTTCAATGAATATTCAATAAATTTATCCGAATATTAATTCAATTTTTTAACCAATTTCTGAATATTAAAAAAATTAGACTAATAAATATCCAAATGATTAGTTAGTTTTAACTAGATCAAATTAGGTTGAACTCTTAGGATTGTTCATTCTTCTGATCTATCTATGTTTATATTATAGAACTCAAAGAAGCTACTTACTGAGGCATTTTAAAAATCAGTATGATGTTTTCAATTCTGATTGGTCAACTTAAATACTGCGTCTTATAAAATTTAAATTCCTCTTCCTAAGCTTAATGAGCCGGTCAGGTTATGAGAACCAAAAAATTAACCTTATCTAGCCAAATATAAATTATTTTTTTTTACAGCTGTTTTCATAAATTCTGTAACAAATAAAAAAATTACTGATGACTAAATTGATAAGTTTCTGAGTTTGGCCGAAGTTAGCTACTTATTGATTTCAACTCGGTGACTTATCAATTCAGTCATTGATAATTTTTTAGTTGTTGTGAAATTTATGAAAACAGATATAAAAATATATATATATTACAGCCTGTTTTTATAAACTTTAGTAACTGAATATTTGCTGATTCTATAAGTTTTGATTCATTAGAGTGATTCATACATAATTAAATTATTTCAAAATAAGTAGAGACACAAAATATTCAATTTCTGTTTTGAATTTTGAAAACTGAAAATGTTATCCAGAGATAAAATATATACTCCTTTTTTTTTTGATAATGTATTGTTATTAAATAATACTATTATAATAAATTAATAAAAAATCACAAATTATCAGTTAAATTTTTTAAAAATTCTTAAATGATATTACATAATTATTTTCAAATTATTAATATTTAATAAAATAATATACCTCCAAAAAACTTTTTAAACAAACCACCAAAGAAAAGAACTTGAAAAAATTATAAGATATCGATCTAATTCAATTATTTGCAATAGTTCATTGATTTTTTTTAAGAATATTAATCATATTATTAGAATATTCTTCTATTAGAATTTATAAAATACTATTTACAGTATGTCTTTAATATGTAATTGTTGATCAGAAATATAAGATTTTTATTTTTATTTTTATTTTTTTTTATTAATATAATTTTTTTTTTTTTTTTTTTTAGTATTAAGGTGACCTCTTTGGTCTGGGGAACTTTTTATTAGAGTATAGATGAAGTTTTATATGTAATTACAAC